GGCGGATACTGGCCAGAGGGAGTAGCCGAGGTGCTGCTGCGCGTGGTACAGAAGCCATCAGCAACTGCAAGCCTGACACCTCCCTCGGCTGGATGGGGCAACCTGTCACTGCAGATGGTGCCATGTTTAGGGAGAGGGCACAGGCCAGGGAGGGAGATCGTCTCTCTGGGCCTCAGTTTCCCTAGGTGCACTGGACAGGGGCAGGACCAGACGCCCCCTAATCCCATGAAATGGTTCTTGGCTATTTGAAGATGCACTGATTAACAAGTGGGTTTGCCCTGCCTGGAAAGCCTTTGAAATGAGGTAAATGGGTCTGAGTTCCTCTGGGCTCGGCATGAAGGGGGCCAGGCCAGGTGGCATTGTCGGCCGTCCGGGGTGACCTATGTGGAAGGGAGGATGAAGAGAATGGTGGGGCTTCAGGCCAGATTTCCTTTCTGTCTCCGGTCAGAAGATATCAGAGCTATCAAGGGCCTTTGGACGTCTTTACAGGAGGGGAAATTAAGGTCTGGAGAATTTACCCAAACTCACCCTCCAATTTAGTGTCAAGACCAGAGTAGCACATCTGTCTACCAGGCTCTTTCCAGAAGCTTTGCTCCGTGGCATGGACATAAGAAGGCATCTCCTCCCAGGGAGCGTCATGTTTAGGGGATGTGAATGATGGTAATAAACCAAAAAAGCGCCAACCCGCCAACCAACCTACCAAGCCCAGGGCTTCCAGGCTAATTATGTGTTCAGTCATGAATGACAGGTAGTTCTCGCTGAAGAGTCTCTCAGCCAATGTGCCTGGGCCAAGTGCTTCTAGTCCTGGGGAGGGACCGCGTCAGACTGTCCAGGTGAGCTGTCTGTCTGTCCACTTGGCTCACTGAATTCCTGGGCCAGCGACAGACCCCAGGCTGGCCCTCCTCCCAGGACAGCGGCCGGACTGAGTTGCTGCAGTGACGGGGAACGCGTTCGGCCGCCCCGGGGGAGGAGAGTATAATTAGGGTAGCTTTGTGGGTCTTTAACTGGCATTTGTCACGGCTGCCAAGCAGCCCTGGGCAGCGTGGGCTATTAGGCTGCTGTATGCCGGGCTGCTGAGGGGCTGCCTCGCTTGCTCAAGATCCCAGGGCCCGGCTGGCCATCCAGCCCCGCTTCTGCGGGCCCTCCCTCCCCTGAGGGCTCTGCAGCTGCCTTTGAGGTGGGCTCTTTGGAGGTCCTTTGGAGCGGTGAGTGCCTTGTGGCACTAACAAGTGCTGGAAAACAGGAAACCGCCGCATGTGGTGCTGGGGTAGACTCTGCAGACATAAGGATTTATAAAAAGGAAAATCTGCAAATTCTTGCAATATTTCTCAAGCTGAGTGTGGTCCATTTTAAACAACAGTGGCTCTGTTCCAATAAGGGGATTATCTTTTCGCTCTTTCTCCCAGGCCATGAGGCACCCTCCCCTGGCTCTGAGCCCTTCCCGGGGCTGGCTTGATGCCCCCACCCCAGCTGGGGAGTGCAGACGCAGAGAAGGCTCGGGGTGGGTCATCGGAGGGCACCTCAGCCCACACCCTCACTGACAGATGGGGCAATTTGACAGAGACTGCCTTGGGCTTGCCACGTTATGGACACTTAATTTAGTCTCTGACATTTGGGCTACAACACCATCTTGAAACATGCTGGGCATAGGAGTAGACATTAAAGATAAACATGTACTAGCTAGTACATCACCAGGCGCCCCAGAGCTCCACCTTTTGAAAGTCAGTCCAGGGGGTAAGTCTCTCACACATGCATGTACCAGGAGGATGGGCAAACACCCCCCACCTACCCACACAGACCCCTGGGAGCACAGGCACGATCGTCTCGGTAGATGGCTCTCATACCCTGGCTCTGGGACTCAGCCTTAGAATCCCGAAGTCTTGGGGCTAGACAGGCCATCAGCCGTCATCCAGGTCAGTATCCAGCAGGTGTAGGCATCTTCTTTTTTTTTTTTTTTTTTCCAAAAGGTATACATATTTTATTTTTATTTATTTATTATTATTTTTTTATTCTTATGTTAATCCCCATACATTACATCATTAGTTTTAGAGGTGTAGGCATCTTCTGTCCAGCTTCTTTTTTAGACAGTTGCTCAGCCTTTGCTCGAACACTTCCAGTGATGGGGAGCTTACTACCTCCATGGGTTGTCCATTCTGACTCAGACAAGCTCCCTTCGGTGGTGAACTGAAATATGCTGCCCCATAGCTTCGGCACACCACTTTTGACCTCTGGAGCCACAGTGAGTCCCAGGGCAATCCTTCATGTATCCTTGGAAAGTGCTAGTGGCTTCCCTCACAGATGCTCTTCTTCTAGCTATCCATGCACAGTTCCTTCAACGGGTGCTCAGATGTTCTGGTTTCTTGGTCCCCTGACGGTCCCCTTACCCTTCTCTACCAGGCCTTCAAGAGACTGGTTTGCTATTAGTCTTCTTCAAGTTCAGGGTGAGACTGGGCCCAGCAATACAGGTGTGGCCTGATCAGGGCAGAGCAGAGGAAGACCGTCGCTTCCTTTGTTCCACACTGCATGCTTCTACTGGTGGAAGCTAAGATCACAGTCATTTTTCTGGGCAGTCTCCTTTCTCTGTTACTAGCAATAAGAAGCCCTAAGTCTTTCTCCTGGGGTGGGTGTGGAGTCACTTTTTCTGTGCCCCCTGCTCAGGCTGTTCATTTTCCACTCTCAAGCTCTGAACCGGACTTTTGTCTACGTGAGGTCGTCCTTCTAGATGTGTCCATAGCTTCATCTGGCCCCATGCCTCTGCATCTAGACTCTGTTGGCCAAGTTATTATTCATTCTTTCCTCCATCATTTTATGCACTTACTCAAGTCCTTAATGCAAAAGTACAACTGGTCAGGGCTTGGGTGGCTGTGAAGAAATAAAAAGTCAAGGTCTGGGCGGGTGGGGATGAACTTGGGTTCTGTCCTCAGAGCAGGCTTGTCGGTGGGGGATGGGGTGTCAGGAAAAAGTGCACTGAGTTAAGGCCAGGCTGGGAAGCCTGGATTATTCTGAGTTATGGGCCGGGCCTAGGACGCTGAGTTCAGGAAGAGAGGCCAGAGAAATACCTTCTCCACCCAGCCGGTTTATTATACCCTATATGCCATCATTTGAAATTCCTTCTTCTGACTCAGGATTTTTGTGTATTAAAAGGAGAGGCATTGCATTAACACTCAAAGTACTCACCCAAGAATCTGGAGCTCCAGGCCTTCAGCTCTGAGCCTCAGTTTCCCTGCTTCATTCATCCCCATAAAATAGTGGGAATGTATGATCAGCAGTTCTTAACCCTTTGGAAGTTAGAGACTCCTTTGAACCTCAGATGGAAGTTACAGATGCTGCTCTGCACACAGAAATCCTTAGTCCCTGGAGTAAGAATGTCAAGATTAAAATACACTTTGAGGCCTTCCCTACCTCCAAGAGTCTACAGAGTCCGTGTTGCGGATGAACTTGAACCCTCGCACACATTTAAACGGCACTGTGTGGGACACCCTCACACCGTTCTCCTGTTTGCTCCGCTCAGTGGCCTCAAGAGGCGGCAGAAGTTATCATCCCAACTTAACACATGAGGAAGCTGAGCTTGGAGGCTCCTAGTTTCCTTCAAGGTCGAACAGCTAGCTAGTGGTTCTTTTCTTTTTTTTTAAAGATTTTATTTATTTATTTGACAGAGACAGAGATAGCGAGAGCAGGAACACAAGCAGCAGGAGTGGGAGAGGGGGAAGCAGACTCCCCACCGAGCAGGGAGCCCGATGCGGGACTCGATCCCGAGACTCCAGGATCATGACCTGAGCCGAAGGCAGTCGCTTAACCAACTGAGCCACCCAGGCGACCCTAGCTAGTGGTTCTTAACTATTCATGTAGGTAGGGCTCCGTGCATACCTCATGTCCCCACCACATTGTATACATTATCTGTAATTATGTAGATAGATAATTCTCACCACCCCTGACCTCAAACATCGAACCTTTCGTGAATTTGGCTCCATCCCCAGATCAGCACCATGCCTGCGGGAGCATCTGGCCCTACCACCTTTGAGCTCGAAGGGCATCTTAAGTTTTCTGGGTCTTACTCGAGGTTACTCAATGTTTCTTTGTGGAAACTGGAACTAGGACCCAGAAGGGCCACAACAGCCCCTTCCAGTGAGACAGGAAGTGGCACAGATAATTTTCTTTCATTGGGAAGGTGGTTTGAATTAAGCCTCCATGAAGCGCCCGTGAACGGGTTCAGGAAGGGCCAGGTTGTCAGTCACGGTGATGGGGCTGGGCAGGGCAGTGCTGGGCATGGCCCAGGCGGGGGAAGAGTGGAGCTTGCCTTGTAGCCTTTTCTGCCAGATGGGCAGTGCGTCCCACCTTTGCTGGCTGCTACTGCTTTCCCAGCTGACCTCCAAGTGCGTGCTCTCAGCATCTTCTCCCAGGCTCAGGCCCCATGTATTTGGTCTCATTTCCTATCTGTTCCTCCTGAGGAGATCATGTTCAACCGGCAAATTCAGGTGCTATGGGGGATACACAGATGTATCTGATCCGGGGGTTTTGTATCCAGACAAGATACTGTTCCTGCCTTAAGAAACCTATAGGGATGAAAGATGAACATCCCTGCCCTTGAAAAGCTGATTGACTAGAGAAGGACACAGACAGGAACACAACAAATGCCATACGGAGCCGGCATGGCCATAGTGGACGCTGGGAAGACGACCTGCATGGGAGGGCAACTAATGCTGACTCACGGTATCTGGGGAAGCTTCCTAGAGGTGATTGCATTTGAGCTGGACTTGGAAGTATGGGAAAGATTTAGATGAGGACAAAGAGAATTCTGGGTGGGGGGAATTGCTTGGGCAAAGGCATGGGGAGAAGGTGGAAGAGGCTGGCTGACCAGATCATAGGTAGCATAAGTCGGGGTATGTGATGATGGAGTTCAAAGGCAAGCCAGTGTTCAACACCAAAGACGTTGACTTAAATATAACTGCAGTGTCGGTGAGATAAAAACCCTGAATCACGTGTGCTCTCTCCCTTTGCAGAGGCCATGCCACTGAAACATTATCTTCTTTTGCTGGTGGGCTGCCAAGCCTGGAGTGCGGGGCTGGCCTACTATGGCTGCCCAAGTGAGTGTACCTGCTCTAGGGCCTCCCAGGTGGAATGCACCGGGGCGCGCATCGTGGCGGTGCCCACTCCCCTGCCCTGGAATGCCATGAGCCTGCAGATCCTCAACACGCACATCACTGAACTCAACGAGTCCCCATTCCTCAACATCTCCGCCCTCATTGCCCTGAGGATTGAGAAGAATGAGCTGTCCCACATCATGCCCGGCGCCTTCCGAAACCTAGGCTCACTGCGTTACCTCAGCCTCGCCAACAACAAGCTTCAGGTTCTGCCTATTGGCCTCTTCCAGGGCCTGAACAACCTCGAGTCGCTCCTTCTGTCTAGCAACCAGCTGGTGCAGATCCAGCCGGCACACTTCTCCCAGTTCAGCAACCTCAGAGAGCTGCAGCTGCACGGGAACCACCTGGAATACATCCCTGACGGTGTCTTCGACCACCTGGTGGGCCTCACGAAGCTCAATCTAGGCAAGAATAGCCTCACCCACCTCTCGCCCAGGATCTTCCAGCACCTGGGCAACCTCCAGGTCCTCCGGCTGTATGAGAACAGGCTCTCAGAAATCCCTATGGGCACTTTTGATGGGTGTGGAAACCTCCAGGAGCTGGCCCTACAGCAGAACCAGATTGGTATGCTCTCCCCTGGCCTCTTCCACAACAACCGTAACCTCCAGAAGCTCTATCTGTCCAACAACCACATCTCCCAGTTGCCCCCTGGCATCTTCATGCAGCTGCCCCAGCTCAACCGTCTCACGCTTTTTGGGAATTCCCTGAAGGAGCTCTCGCCGGGGATCTTTGGGCCGATGCACAACCTGCGTGAGCTTTGGCTCTATGACAACCACATCACTTCTCTACCTGACAACGTCTTCAGTGACCTCCGCCAGCTGCAGGTCCTGATCCTCAGTCGTAACCGGATCAACTACATCTCCCCAGATGCCTTCAATGGGCTGGCGGAGCTTCGGGAGCTGTCCCTACACACCAACGCGCTGCAAGAGCTGGACGGGAGCGTCTTCCGCATGTTGATCAGCCTGCAGAACATCTCCTTGCAGAATAACCGCCTCAGACAGCTCCCAGGGAATATCTTCGCCAATGTCAATGGCCTCATGACCATCCAGCTGCAGAACAACCAGCTGGAGAACCTGCCCATGGGCATCTTTGACCACCTGGGGAACCTGTGTGAGCTGAGGCTCTATGACAACCCCTGGAGGTGTGACTCTGGCATCCTTCCACTCCACAACTGGCTCCTGCTCAACAAGCCCAGGTTGGGGACAGATGCTCTCCCGGTATGTTTCAGCCCACCCAGTGTCCGAGGCCAGTCCCTCATCATCATCAACGTCAACGCTGCTCTCCCCAGCGTCCAGGTCCCAGTGATGCCCAGCTACCCGGAAACACCACAGTACCCGGACACACCCAGCTACCCTGACACCACCTCCATCTCCACTACTGACTTCACCAGCACTGTGGGGGACTACACCGATCTGACCACCATTGAGGTCACCGATGACCGCAGCACGTGGGGCATGACCCAGGCCCAGAGTGGGCTGGCCATTGCCGCCATTGTCATTGGCATTATTGCCCTGGCCTGTTCCCTGGTTGCCTGCATCTGCTGTTGCTGTGGCAAGAAGAGGAACCACGCGGTCCTGATGCAGATGAAGGCACCCAATGAGTGTTGAAGAGGCGGGCTGGAGGCAGGGCTGGGGAAGAGTGGGAGCACTGGAGGATCTGGGAGTTTCATTATTGTGCCTCCACCCCTGGGTCCACAGAGCCATCCCCCACTCCCTCTCACTGGTCCCCAAGAGAAAGGCACCCCCACCTTTTCCTGACCTGTCTGGTTCTCCTCTAGAGAACTACAGGAGAACCAGCTCTTGCAGGGCTTCTTACCACCAGGGAGATCCAACCGGCCATGGCAAAAACCCCGTGGGGTTTCTAATTCACATCCCTGGGCTTCCTTCGAGAAAGCCCTTCTCCACAGCCTTACCAGCTCTCCTCCAACAAGCCTCCCTGCACCCGCGGCCCTGCTGGCCTCTGTAGACTCAGTTACCACGCCGGCTCACTTTGTGGGGATAGTTCTCCACGGGGACAGCTCCTCTCCCAAGTAGGATGGAAGTTGATTTCCCTTCCTTCGCTCCACCCCCGTCCGTGGCATGCTCTCCCCTGTCCCCTTGAAAGGTCTCCCTTGATTTTCTGCTCCTGAAGGCAGGGTGAGTTCTCTCCTCACAGAAGGCTTCCACCCACTCAGCTGGCTTCCTAGGAGCTGACAAGCACCTGGTTTTTGGGTCACTGTGCAAGATGCCCCTTGGCTCCCGCAGAGAGAACCACTGTCAGCATCTCTCATGGGATCGTTATCTGGAAAAGAAAGACCGGCACCCGTGCAACAAGTCGGCCTTGTAGAGATTTCTGAACCACAAATTTTGTTTTGAAAGTGTTGGTCCTTTGAGGGATAAGGTCACATAGAATGTCTGACCCCTAAAAACCTTGAAAATCAGCTTACTAGTACTGGATGGAGAAAGCACCCTGGTACCTGGGGTGTCCTTATGTTCATCCTTAGGGTTCTTCTCTTTTAACTTTTTATTGAAGTATAACACATACAGAAATGTGGGAGCGTGACCGTGTAGAGTTTGATGGGTCTTCACAGTTCACACCCATGTAATCAGCATCCAGATCTAGAAACAGGCTATTACTAGTATCCTCCATTGTGGGCTTTTACTGGAGAAGACAGGCTTGAGGAGATGGGTCCCCATGAGCCAGGATGGCCCCTCACCACCCCGGCCAGCCCGCCCTTGCCAAGGCCCAGCTGCTAGGGGTAGAGGAGACGACGTGGGTACGTTCCAGAGATGTAATCAAATCCCCACACCCGCGGCTCCCAGAACGGCCAGGTCAGAGGCCTCTCTACAGCAGAGGTCCCTGCAAGCACACATGGCCTTTATCGCCATGCTCTGCCTCTGTCTGTTTTTAATTTTCACTTTCCATTTGGGGGAAGCAAAATAGTTCGGAGATGAGATCCTTCAGTTGAACAGCTGAATGTAATGGAACCTGGTAATCCTTCTAGTGTGGTAAAATTCTCCATCAACGTTCCAGTCAGCTAGACACTGAAATTCAGAATGCTCACATACGGGAGGCAACATCAGGGTGCACAGATAAGTCACCCTGGGTCTGGGGGCTCTTTGGAGTTCCTTCTGCCTGTGGCCTGCTTATAAGAGTTAAGTGTTTGGTGCAGGGTTATCGTCCTCCTTGAGTGCTAGCCACAGAAATCCCTGCCTTCAGCACCTTTCTGCTACACACGTATTCACACTGGTAAAGAAATTGTGCTCATGGCAACTCATGTCTTTGGACAACTGGTCTATCAGTTCAGAAATAAAAACAGTGAAATGGAGAATTTCAGCTGTCTGTGTCTGCCCAGGAAAGAGCTGCAGCTGGTGCTGTAAGGATTTGGAAATCCTGACTGGCTCTTACTAGTTTTCTCTGTCCCACAAGACAAATAAGAAATTGCCTTAGGCCTTAGTGGCATGATGCTGACAGGTCCCCAACAAAACAGGTCCAGGAAAGGATGTGTGTAGGAACTAGTACACTGTATAGTTTTTTTCTCTGTCCCAGAGAATCTGGGGAAGATGGGGCCTGTCAAAGGCAAAAGACATCTTCTCCCCGAGGTAAATCTGGGTCTCCAAAAGGTTTACCAAAGATTTGTAGCAACTGGTGGACGTGTACCAAGACTTGCCAGGGCCCAAAAGGAAGTGAGCCCAGAGCTTGGGGCATGAGCATCATTCCATTGATGGTGGCCTGCCTGATGATCCTGGGGCCATCGGGGGAAGTGAGGCTTGCTTTCCTCCAGATAGGAAGCATGGGTTAGCACTGTATTCGTCAAGGTGCTCCTTATGAGTAGGCTCCAATGTCTCATTGTGCAAGGGTGCAAGTGGGCCAGAGATGGCAGAGAGGTGAGGAAGGAGTCCTTTTCACCCAGTGTGTCCTGCCCTTCTGGACCCAGAACCCTTGGGTAGTCCTGGCATTGGCCATGACATTGGAGGTCCTTTCTCCCGAGCCCAGGATAGCAGCATGTTTCCCCAGCCCAAAGGTTGGCCTGAGGGCATCTGTCCTCAGATGTCTCCATGCAGGAGCACCCCCTGGTGGGGCTGGTGAACTCTTTACATGATGCTCGGAGCTTGCCTGGTCCTTTCTCCCATCAGAGTGGATTGGATGGAGCCATTGGGCCTCCTCTTCCATGGCAGGCCTTTTGGCCTCTCTGAACCATGTTGTCTGGCCAAGGAGCTACCGGGAAAGCTGGATGGAGTTTCCTTTCCAACAAGACATTGCATTTCCTCACTTTCCAGGGCTGGAGTGAGCTGCTTGGTCCCCCAAGTTGAGGTAGGGTACAGAGTCCACTTTAATTTCCCCGTTTGCTCACTGGCCCCTAGGTCACCTTGCCAGTACCAGCAGCCTCCATTTGGAGTGAAGGGTCAATGTTGGAGAAAAGAGAATAAAAACCAGTTAGAACCACTGTTTTTCAAAAATGCTTACTGTGTGTAGATACCCTTTAAAGCACTGAACAAGCATTTTCTTTTTAAGCCTGACAGCACCTCTGTGCATGAGTACTACCGTTATGCCCTGGAAATGGGTCTAAACTCACTGTTTCTTCTGCAACATTATTCCGTGGGCCGTGGGTTTTCTTTCTCTCTTCACACTTTTTTTTTTTTTAAGGATTTTAATTATTTGAAACAGAGAGAGACACAGCGAGACAGGGAAACAAGCAGGGGGAGTGGGAGAGGGAGAAGCAGGCTCCCCCAGGGAGCCCGATGTGGGACTCGATCCCAGGACCCTGGGATCATGACCTGAGCCGAAGGCAGATGCTTAACGACTGAGCCACCCAGGTGCCCCTCTCTCTTCACACTTTGTACAAGACGTCATGGCCTGTCCTGGGCTTTCATCTGTAAAGAAAATGGGAGTCACTTTCCTTCTGCTTCCTACAGTCTTAGCCATTGGAACCTCACTTGCTACTGTGTGGATCAAAAGCTTTGTCAATACAGGGAACATTCAGCTCACCCATCCACTAAAGAAAAAGAGCAGTTTCAGGAATCTGTTTCCACCCTCAGGAAGCTGATGGAGAGTAGACAGCTAGGGAGATAACTAGATCACTAGAGTTGGTAACGAGACACTGGCTGTGTCCAAGCCTTTAGCTACAAGCCACTCACAGAGTGCAGCCCACGGATCTCGCAGTCAGAACTGAACCCAGGCTGTTGGGGAGGCAGTGGGTGGGGGGCTCGGGAAGGAAGCCCTCACTGTGGTTCAGAGAAGGGGGCAGGTGCTTCTCTAGGCCCAACTTCTGCCAGCTATGCTCTCTCCTTCACCTAAGGAGAGATCGTTCTCACCGACCCATTGCCTTCATGATGCCTTCAAAAGTAGATCATGTTTACCTCGCTTAGAGAATCATTGCAAATAGTCCCAGGTGCTTGGTGATGCATTTAGAGATTTCTAGGCCCCCAGGGTTTTATAGAGTGTGAGCCCTGGTGGGCAGGATTGGGGGTCCATCTTTGCTGGATGCTGCCTATAACAAATTTGGTGTACAGAATCAACAATAAACGGTATACACAGGACACATATGTGCTCGATGGACGTCTTGCCTAAGGAATCTCACACCTGTTGATTCTACTCTTGTTCATGCATGTGAGGCTGAGCCAGACAGACCCTCGTGGAGAACAGATTCTGAGCTGGGAAAAGTCCTTTGAAAAGTGAGTGGGGAACATAAATGCAATAACAAATGATATCTCTAGGCCACTGTGTCTGGAAGGAGCCTGAGGAATAGGTTCAACCCATTTTATAGATGAAGAAAGTGAGATCAAGGCAGGAAATTAATTTCCTCGTGTAATTAATGCCTGAGCTCGCAATGCAGCAGGTCTCCAGACTCCCAGACTGGGGGTTCTTCTATGTCACCAGAAAGGCATTCATTTGACCTGTATGTGAGCACGCACACACACACAGTCTTAGGTGGGCAGACTCTTCCTGCACACCGCAGCATTCCTAGTGTGCCTCGCACTGGGCTCGGTGTGTCACAGGCTCTCAGAAGACCCCATCTGAGTGAAGGCGACTCCCTCCAAAGTGTCCAGGTGTCCCCAGCACTTTTTCAGGTCTCCAGATCCCAGGGGCTGCCGTAGCTGCCAGCTCAGTGCTTGAGAGAGGGATGATCTCTGCGGTTCCTTTATCCCACTGCTGTGCCAGGATAGGAACTTCAAACTGTATTTTCCTGGGCTCTTTTAGCTCGTAGATCCTCTCTGCCAGGGGTAAGCTTGTCCCAGGAGTTTTGGCTAATGGGAAAAGGGTTTAGGGTCCTCATCCCACTTCCCAGAAGGTCCCTAGAGTTCGTTCTTTCTTTCTTTCTTTCTTTCTTTCTTTCTTTCTTTCTTTCTTTCTTTCTTTCTTTCTTTCTTTCTTTCTTTCTTTCTTTCTTTCTTTCTTTGAGAGAGAGAGAGAGAAACAGCATGAGAGGGTATAGGGTCAGAGGGAGAAGCAGGCTCCCCGCCGAGCCAGGAGCCTGATGTGGGACTCGATCCCACGACTCCAGGATCATGACCCGAGCCGAAGGCAGTCGCTTAACCAACTGAGCCACCCAGGCGCCCCGGTCCCTAGAGTTCTTAATGCAAATCTCCCCTCCACACATGCCCACATATGCCCAGAGTTCTGCCAGCCTGCTCCTATCTGAAGTTTTATTTCACACGTGTGTGTGTGGGCTCATGTGTGCATGCATGCACGAACACACACACACACAAAGGTCGGCCCTCTACCACACCTATTCCACAGATGGGGAGGCAAAGACTTGTAGAGATTAAATAATTTGTGTAAGGACTGGTTAGTTAGTTGAAGAGCCAGAATTCAAACCCGGATCCATTGAATGCCCAATTTCTCTGGCTCACTATGACACTGACAAACAGACAAGGTCTCTCTCTAGAGGTGTCAGTGCCTTAAGAAACCATTCAGAGTGCAGATGGGGCTGTTCCCCTAGCCTGGCTGTGGGTCTCCTCCAAAGGTGTGCCCCCTTCCCTCAGCCCCTGGTGAGTATACCATCCTGCCCCTACTGGCCTGGGTGCCGTGGAGGGCGGGGTGGGGCGCATTCTGTTCCCAGCCCTTCTTCCCTCTGACATGCTCCCATGTTCCTCTGCCAAAGTGTGGATTTGTACTATGTCTCCATTGAAAAATGTTTCCTTGCTATACGTTATCAGAACTTTGTGATTTAGCTGATGAAATCCACTCACATGCCAAAGAAATAATAGTTAAGTCATGAAAAAGAGTGAGATAGATATTAATACCATGCAACGAGTTTTAAAGCCATCAGTCTACTTTGAATGGTAGCCTCTGGACATTGAAAATGACCTGAGACTGCTTATCTAGGTCATGCCTTCACACTGCACCCTTTAAAATATATACCCACCTATGCACACACACACACTCTTTACCTCATTCTGCAGCCCCTGGATGAACATCTCCAGACAGGAGAACCACTATTTTTTTTTAAAGATTTTATTTATTTATTTGAGAGAGAGAGAGCACAAGCAGGGGGAGGGGCAGAGGGAGAGAGAGAGGGAGAAACAGGGAGCAGGGAGCGAGCTGAGCAGGGAGCCAGATGCACGGGGCTTCGCGGGGCTCGATCCCAGGACCCCGGGATCATGACCTGAACTGAAGGCAGATGCTTAAGCAACTGAGCTACCCAGGCACCCTAGGAAAACCACTCTTCCAAAGCAACTTCTTTCATCCTTGGCTAGCCCTATGGTGAAACTGTGCCTCTCCATATTGGGCCCAAATTCACCTCCTTCCATCTTCTCCCCTTTTAACTCAGAAAGGGTTTAGAAAGTTAGTTTATGAAACAAACCAATAAACCAAGGAACAAGCCCACAGCCCTCTTAGAATTCCTCCCAGCACTGAGAGCGCAGCAGGTGTCTGTGGCCAGGTGTTTACCTGTCAGGCTCCCAGCACCAGCCTGGCCTTTCACCGGGAGGGGATGTAAGTGGACTCCTGGCCGCGGTCCTCATCCCTGGATCAGCCTACTGGAAACTTTCTAGGACCTGCTGGATGCCCCTGGGCCCTAAAGGTGCCAGGCCTGTAATCTCTGCTGGATTTTGGCCTCAGTGGGGATCTGTCCATGGAACAGTTCAGGGTCATTTTGTTAATCTTCAGAGGCCTTGCCCCAGATTCTCCTTTGCTGTCCTGTGACCCTGGTGACGTTCCGGGAACACTTGGTCCACGTGAGGGGAGGAACCACTGCCGGGAACTTTGATCAGCGCTGGGGCTGCTGGGCTCACACTGACCATAGACCACACCAGACACACTTCTGCTCCCCAGGAAGAGCCAGGGCGGCCTGTGCGTGTCCTCTCAGCCCCTCACGGTAGGTCTCCTGGGGTCTGTGGGGATGGGGGAGGACTCTGGCCTCGGTCCCAGCTGCGGGGCAGGAGAGGGGCAGTCACTCCTCCCAGGGTCAGAGCCTGTCCCCAGCTCCAAGCAGGATACACCATCCGGGTACTCTGCTATAGGAGGAGAAGCCCCCGTGGCCCCCTGCCAGGGTGGTGCTGGCCTGGGGCGGGAGGCCGGGGCGGCAAGGGGTCCTGAGACAAAGGTGACCTGGTCCCTGTGCTCTGGGAGTGCAGAGTGAATGGTGGGGATACGCAGGACGACCATATGTCCAGGTTTGCCTGGTTCCATCCTTGTTTATGCCATCCTGTGGCTCCCCTTTGAGTCCGGGTTTCGTTGATATAGTCACTCCGAGAATAAAATCCAAATATAGCTACCTTTTATCCAACACTTACTATTTGCCAGGTATTGTGTTAAATGCATTGTATTTGCTGTCTAATGTAAGCATATATATTATCCAGTTAGGTACTGATTTTAACCCTAAGGGATGAGGTTACAATCGTGCAAGGGAAAATTAAGGCTTGGAGAGAAGGAGTGACCTGCCCGAGCCCACACAGCCTGTAGGTAACAGTGTCAGACTTTGAACCCAGATCACAGCCCTGGCAGAGTTCAAGGGCTTCCCCACTCCGCTAAGCACGAGGAACGTAAGATGTGATACACAGGTGACCGAGAGCCACAGGCACATTCGCTTTAGTTCAGCCCACCCCACCTGGTCTGCGCTCAGCTCTGGGCCTGGTGCTGGGGTGCACGGCCCGGTAAGACATGCTGCAGACAGCATCCCAGCCCCAGAAGCTCACAGGCAGACTGGGGCAACTGACCAGAAGTTAGAGCAGAAGGACCCAAGCATTCATCTGAGGGTGGGAATGACCTGTGGCGTCCACAGTCAAGGATGGCTTCCTGGGGAAGGTGTGAGTTGCGCAGGCTTGGGGTGCGGGTGGAGGTATGGGGGCATTCTAGAGCAGAAAGGGCTGTGTAAGCGGGAGTTGGGGTGGCACCCTGTGGCAAGCATTTGAAGAAGGACAGTGCTCAGTTCACAGCTTTTTTTTTTTTTTTAAGATTTTATTTATTTATTTGAGAGAGAGAGAGCACAGGTGCACAAGCGGGGGGAGGGGCAGAGGCAGAGGGAGAAGCAGGTTCCCCGCTGAGCATGGAGCCCGAAGCAGGGCTCCATCGACCCCAGGACCCGGGGATCATGACCTGAGCGAAAGGCAGACGCTTAACCGACTGAGCCACCCAGGGGCCTCACAGCTTCTTTTATTTCACCATGCTGGCTATCTCCCCCCAAGGCGGCTGGGAGACAAGCTCTTTTGAGCCTTTGCGATGTAATTGCAAGGGAGGAGAGCAGTCCAGGAAGCCCGCATTTTGTGTTTGGAAGGGGGCTGTGTGTTTTACATGATTATCTGAATTTTTATGACTTTCAACCTTCTTACAAACGTGACCTGTTTATTATTTTTTTTAGAAACTGTAGACAATGTCTGATAAAGCAAAAGAAAAAAATTAAAGTCACCCACAGTTCTGTTTTTCAGAGATAACCACTGCAAATATTTTGTGTATAATCTGAAGCTTATCTAAGAGCATATCGAGAGTCACTTCATTAATATAAATGAGTGAATCAAAAGGGTCCAATTATGAATAACAAAAGATGCCCCTCTATTAACTCTTAGGAAATTTCAAGGGTTTTTGGAGCTCCGTGGTAAGAGCCAGGCAGGAAAAAGACTAAATATATATTTTTTACTCTACCACCATATCACAAACTCAATGCCAGTTATCTCAGTTAATGACCACAACTCTAACAAAGCTGTAATTTAGGTAGTAGTGTTACTATCATAATTGTTCTTAATTTACAAATGCCGAAACCAGGCGCTGAGGGGTTACTTCACTGCCTGGGACACAAGTGGGCCGCAGGTTGGGGAGGACCAGCCAGCTGGGGTGGGGGCGGGGAAGAGGCTGGAGCCTGGGAAAGGAGACGGGGTCCGGGGAGCAGCAGGACTTCCTGGGGGACCTGGATGAAGCCATCAGGGGCTCCAGATGAGCCTCTAAAGCCTCTCCTCCCGCTCTGAGATGTGCTGGGGCCCCTTGGCCATGCAGACTGCAATGGAGCCATCCCCGAGTAGAGCAGCAGTCCCCTGATGGGGCTCTGGGCTCCTGTCACCCTCTGGAAGGAGTGAGGGTTGGCTCTGTGGTGGATGACAGACTGGCCTGTGGCACACACAGAAATGTATCAACCCAAAAGCAATTTGAGAAGAGAAAAAAGTCCATTTGCAACCAGTCAACCACCCCCTGCCCCCACCAGAGCCAGACTTCCCTGGCTTGCTGAAAGCATGGAACATATTTTGTGGGCATGTGCTGGTCTCTGCAGAAATGCAGAGGTGGTTTCTCAGATGAGAAGCAGGAATCTTCTGGCTGCCTCTCCACAGTGCCCAGGCTGGGGCGCTTACCCTCTCCAGAGCCCCCAGTGACCTGCTCTTGAGGGCACTTGGGAAAGGGGCCCACATCCAGGGCATCCTAGCCAAAGCCATCAGAATCTGTGCTCTTCTAAACCAAGGGCAAAACAATTACCCGCTTCCCTTGGCTGGGAGGAAAGAGCCAGAAAAAGTGCTGTGGAGAGGCATCTTGCTGGTCCATAAATGGGGTGGTTGGATGATCTCATCAGGTTTTCCAGAGCTAACCTCTGTGACAACTTTAGAACAAAGTTAGGGCTGGCCCGAACTCAAAATAATCAGGGTCATTAATGCTCTGTTGCTGAACGCTCACTGTGGGTCAGGCTCTGGGTTTGCAGCTTTCCACACATTTTCTCATTCAGTCCTCAGAACAACCCCGTGAGGAAGGTAGTATTGAAGCTTGCTGTTTTGAAGATAAGGAAATTGAAGCACAGAGAGGTTAAGCAATTCAGCCAAGGCCACACAGCTAATGAGGGATAGAGACAGGATTTGTACCCTTACTATCTGACTCCAGAGCACAAACTCTTAGCCATTCTCGAGTGATGTGAGAACGAGTCTTGGGCTAGGAGTGGATAGTTGGGAAACGATCAGTGTTCCACGCCCTCACGGTGAGTACCATCTCCTGTTTCCTCCAACCCCATAGACCGGGGCTCGCTCTTTCCTGAACTTCAGAGGCCCTGTTCGGGTCCTCTTCCCACCTTGACACCTCCAAGGGGTGAGAAGTTTGCAAAACCAAAGGGACATATCCGCCCGGAGGCTACGCCCCCATCTTCAATCATGCTTCAATCAAGTACCCAGGAGCCAGGACTGGCGTGGGTTGCCTCCCCAGGTCTATCTTCCCTCGGTTGACCAAGTCACAGTAGTGCATGCCCTTGGGCATGTGGGGACAGACAGTAGGTGAGGTCCCTTGTATATGTTCACTCTAGGGCCCTCAGGTCCATTCTAGGGGAAGCTTTTCTGGAAACTGCCTTTGAGAACCAAAGACCAAAGGGGTTAGCGAGGAAGGGGACTGGCACATTATGCATTGTTATGCATTATGGCATCTTTAAAATAAAAATTGCTCCCCTGTTACTCTCTGGAGGAGGAGGATTCGAGTCCACTCTCATGGTCTGGCTGGTGATCATTCACTGGGGCTTGAACCATGCTAGCTGTGGAAAGGTTAACTCTGCCTCCCACACTGCTCGCATCAGCTATGGAGACTTGAGCTGGATGAAGCCTAGCCCAGCCCGCGGTAGGTCAGCACTGGGCTGGACGCCGAGCATAGCGATGAGCACACTCATCTTCTCAAGACGAGGACAGCCACGAAGAGCCACCATTTCGGGGAACTATGCTAGCTGCCGAGATCGAGGAGCATACCACCAGGCACCATATTCCTGGGGTCAGGGAAGGCTTCTGTCAGGATCCCTAGGGGTTTTGTGTGGGATCCCCAGGGGCAGCCCAGCTGGCAGGTGGGGCTGGACAATGGCCACCTCATCCATCTGCAGCCAGGGCCCTCTTCTTATCTGTAACAAGCCTCAGACAAGAGTGTGCCCCCTGGTTCTACATCTCCCTAGACAAGTGGTTATGGAGTTCAGCTTTAGCACAAGACTCTATTCTCTGAGGCTGTATGTAGAGGCTACGGACTCAGGTGTTGTGAGGGGCAGGCAGGTGCAGCTCCTAGAAGAGCCCTCCCCTGCCACCTCCGGGGGCATACTCAGCACCCATGCAAGTGACAGAGGGAGGCATGCACTTTCTGTGGCGGAAGTGGTCCCTTCTCTATTGATTAGGCAGAAAAATTCCTGGAAAAATTGGACTATTGAGTGTCTGAATGGGAGGAGGGAACAGGGAGATTTTGCAAGCGCTCTGTTTGCTTATGGGGAGCCCTTTGGCCTGAAGTGGAACCTTGGGAGGGAGGAGGCAGCCAGCAGAGGGCAGCAGAGAGGCGGCCAGCAAAAAGGGTTTGGGGCCAAGATACCCCAACGCGGAGCCGATTGTCAGTGCTTACTAGAGGCAGATAACTGAGAAAAATTAAGATTATGTTGTTCAAGGGTTTTTTCTTTCTGTCTTCCTTTCTTTCTTCTCCCCACTCTCTTTTCTTTCTTCCTCTATCTCCCCTCCCGCCCTCCCTCCCTCCTTCCCTCCCTCCTTTCCTTCCTTCCTTCCTTCCTTCCTTCCTTCCTTCCTTCCTTCCTTCCTTCCTTCCTTCCTGTCTGTCTTTTCCTGGTAAAGCCAAATGTATTCTATCTAAAGGGCATTCTGTTCTTCCTACTTTTTTGGTGTTCAAATAACCTTTCTGTTATGATGGTGGCTTACAACCTTTAACAATAATTAACATAATTTATTAATTTCTCACTCTACATCAGACACGGACCTAAAACTTTGGCTATGTTTCCTCATTCAAGCCTCGCAATTACCCTGACCTGGTAGACACTATCCCTGTTTTACAGATAAGGAAAGTGAAGCTCAGCCGGGTTAAGTAACACGCCTAAGGTCACATAGCTAGAATGAGCTAGAATGTGGTGGAGCCAGTATTTGAACTCATGGAACCTGCCCCGCTACAGGCCCTGTAAATGACAGGTGGGGCTATGGCGGCCTGGGAGGTGCACACCCCCATGGGGCAACTAAGCCCCAATTCCAATTGGTCTTGTCTTGTCATGTGGGAATGTGAGCCCACTGCTCCTAAATCATCCTGAAATCTGGACTTTTTAATGTGAGATTTCTCAATTTTTACATGTTGGCTAGTGGTTCATATAGAAAAAAGACTGAGCCATGAGACACATCTGTGAACTGCAGCACCAACCTGTGACCTGGGGTTGGATGCTGGCATTTAAAACAATTTCTTTAGGGACGCCTGGGTGGCTCAGTCATTAAGCGTCTGCCTTCAGCTCAGGTCATGATCCCAGAGTCCTGGGATCGAGCCCCGCATCGGGCTCCCTGCTCGGAGGGGAGCCTGCTTCTCCCTCTCCCGCTCCCCCTACTTATGCTCTCTCTCTCTCTCTCTGTGTCAAATAAATAAATAAAATCTTAAAAAAAAAAAAAAAAGAGCCCATCTTGTCTCCGCAGCTGCTCTCACCCCCAGTGGATGTACAAGAGCAGATGGTCGAGTCTCCTCATCATTAGGCTCTGCAGTGTGCTGAGATTTGGAAACCCAGGAAGAGTTATGGGTTAAAAATTCCCTGCACACTAATAACCTACCCAGATTTTACACATTACCTTAAAAATTCCATAATACCCATGGTCTCCTCCTTTCCCTCTCTTCCATGCCTTTTTATCTCACTTCCACCCTTTCTCCCCACCTGGAAAGCACACGGAAAGTCCAGGAGACCTGGGTCTTGGTCCTGCCACTAACCTGCCAGGTGGCTATGGACAGGCCACGTGACACCCTGTCAGGAGGTCCGAACCCGGGTCTCATGGATCTTGCAAGGCTGCCGCGAGGCAGTCTGAAAACAACCACTGAAAACACATACTGTCCCAAAGGGGGGCCTCCCTGAAAGAGTTAATCCCTGTCTCCTGACTGCCCGCCCCCCCCACGGGGCGCTGGCCCCTGTGCCTCACTGTCCTCGAGAAAGGCGTCACCTCTGTTCTCTCTTCCTGCTGGGGTCAGGAGATGCTGCCCGGGGCCTGGCTGCGCTGGGCCGGCCTCCTGCTGCTGGCCAGGCCTGCCCGGCCCTGCCCTGCGGGCTGTGACTGCTTCACCCAGGAGGTGTTCTGCTCCGATGAGGGGCTGGCCGCCATCCCGCCGGACATCCCGCCCCACGCCACAGACATCATCTTCGTAGAGACCTCGCTCACCACGGTGGGAGCCAGGGCCTTCAGCGGCAGCCCCAACCTCACCAAGGTGGTCTTCCTCAACACCCAGCTCCACCACCTAGAGCCCGACGCCTTCGGGGGGCTGCCCAGGCTGGAGGACCTGGAGATCACTGGCGGCACCTTTTCCAACCTCAGCACCGACACCTTCTCCAACCTGAGCTCGCTGGGCAAGCTCACCCTCAACTTCAACATGCTGGAGACTCTGCCTGAGGGCCTCTTCCACCAGATGGACGTCCTGGAGTCTCTCCAGCTGCAGGGCAACCGGCTCCAGAGCCTGTCTGGGAGGCTCTTCCGGCCTCTGGGAGCTCTGAAGACCCTCAACCTTGCTCAGAACCTGCTTGCCCAGTTGCGGGGGGAGCTGTTCGACCCCCTGGGCAGCCTGCAGACCCTGAGGCTGAGCAACAACGCGCTCTCCAGCCTGCCCCAGGGCGTGTTCGGCAAACTGGGCAGCCTGCGGGAGCTCTTCCTGGACAGCAACCTGATCTCAGAGCTGCCCCCCGGAGTGTTCTCAGGGCTCTTCCAGCTGGAGGAGCTGTGGCTGCAGCACAATGCCATCCGCCATCTGCCCGTCTCCGTCTTCTCCTCCCTGGGCAACCTGACCTTCCTGAACCTGCAGGGGAACGCGCTGCAGGGGCTGCCCGCCGGCCTCTTTGCCCCTACCCCAGGCCTGGTGGGCCTGTCTCTGTCCTACAACCAGCTGGTGGCTGTCAGCGAGGGCGCCTTTGCCAACCTGTCCAGCCTCAGTTCCCTGACGCTCTCGCACAACGCCCTCACCCATCTCCCGGCCGGCGTCTTCAGAGACCTGGAGGGGCTGGTCAAGCTCTACCTGGGCAGCAATAACCTGACGGCCCTGCACCCAGCCCTCTTCCAGAACCTGTCCAGGCTGGAGCTGCTCAGCCTCTCCCAGAACCTCCTCACCACGCTCCCCGAGGGCATCTTCGACACCAACTACAACCTGTTCAACCTGGCCCTGCACGGCAACCCCTGGCAGTGTGACTGCCACCTGGCCTACCTGTTCAGCTGGCTGAGACAGTACAGCGACCGGCTCTTCAACATCCACACCTACTGCGCCGGCCCCGCCTACCTGAAGGGCCAGCTGCTGCCCGCCTTGCAGGAGGAGCAGCTGGTGTGTCCCGTCACCCGCGACCGCCTGGCCTTCCAGGCCCCGGGGCTGGAGGACAGGGAGCCCGGGGGCAGCTGGGATCTGGCCGCGCAGGAGAGGGCCGTCTGGAGTCAGTGCACCTACAGCAACCCCGAGGGGACCGTGGTGCTCGCCTGTGACCAGGCCCGGTGTCGCTGGCTGAACATCCAGCTGTCTCCCCGGTCGGGCTCGGGCCCCCCGGGACTGATGTACAACGCCAGCCAGCACTGGGACTTGAAGTCCCGCTGTGGCTCCGTGAGGCTCACCGTGGCTATCGAGGCTTGGCCAGGGGGGCAGTAGGCACGGGGCGTGCAGAGCCAGGAGCCTGCCTAGGTAGCCTCCGGGGCCCGGCCAGGCCAGAGGTGGGGGCAGAGGGAGAGCCGAAGCCTTGCTTGTGCAGATGCCAGGGACGGAGCAGAGTCCCCTGGGTGGAGGAGGTGGCTCGGTGGCCTCTACCCTCCTCCCCCTCTTCTGTCACTATCACCGAGGCTGGGCCCTACCTCGGCCCTCCTCGAGCTTTGCCAAGCAGCCCTTAAAGCTGCACCACAGTCTGGAGAATAAAAGAACATTCTCCCTGGTGTTTCCGGATGATCTAATACCCACCCCACTCTCATCGTGCCCTGAGGTTCCAGGCCTCAGGCACCACCAGTCCAGGTCCTCTTCGGACTTCCAGCTCGAAGGCCAAACGTCCGTTTCGATCTCTCTCCCTGGGAATTTGGTTTCAATTGATATAGAGAAAAACAAAGCAGGGGGTAGAAGCAGAGGTGAGCAGAAGGATGAGGGGCAGAGGTCTGACTGGCGTGGGGGGGGTGCTTGTGTCATTTGGGGCCACCTCCTGCGCTGTCGCCAAGGGAGACCAGGATGAATGGGGCCTGGGGAGGCAAACAGCAGCCGTTTGGACTCCCCCCCCCCACGCCAAGTCCCTCTTCTCCCCGCCACGGACAACAGGGCTGCTCCCTGAGTGGGGAGGCGGGAGGGGCAGTGAGTGGGGCTTGGAGGCTCCTCAGCTCTCTGCTCTCTGATGGCATCTGACTCTGGGGCCGCTCACTCCCTGCGATGGTTCTCCTCTGGTTTGCAGGACACCACTCTCTCACAGCCCGGCCACTCCTTCGGTCTCCCAGCCACCCCTTCCATGCTGGGGACCCCCCCACCCTGTGCCCTCCTGTTCGGCCTCCCCGGGGAATCTCAGGCATGCCCCTGGGGTCGGATGCATGATGACCCGCATCTCCATCTCGGGCTCAGGTCTTCTTTGGCTCCGTGATGAGCTATCTGCCTGCTCAGCAGCCCTGTGTTCGATCATTCCGCCTCGAACATCTGTAAAGCAAACCGATCCCCGGTTCTTCCGGGATTCCTCTCCAGCAGATTGCCAAGCCCAGGAGCTGGGTGTGTTCTCCAGTCTCTCCTCCCCCTTGAACATCATGACCCACCCACCCAGGAACACTTCTGAGCACCCCTTTATCCATTTCCCCCTTCCCATTCCCAGCCCCGGGAGGCTCTTTGTCTCTCTGGACCGGACCGTGTGTAGTCTCCTACCTGGTTCTCCTGCCTGCAGTGTGGACCGGTCTGGGTGAAATGCTGGGGTTGGGGAGGGAGACACGAATCTGACGTCTGGCAGGCCCTCCGGGAACTCATTCACAGTCTGGCAGGAGAGATCAGACAAGGGTGCAGGTCTTGGTGGTGGGTGGGGAGGAGAGTGAAGACAAGAACCAAGGGCAGGGACAGGCTTGGGGGAAGGCAGGAGCGTGATGTCAGCTTCACACAAGGAAGTGCAACTCCCCCATTGTGTCCAGGGATGCCCTTTTAAAAAACATGCTTCCCGAGGCTCAAATCAAAATCACCACAAATTCTAAGGTGATGGAAGGTAGTTGACCAGATTCGCCAAAGGAACAGACTCCCAAATTCATTGGGTTCAATTCCCAGAAGTATTATGGATTAATAATCTTTTTAAAAAAGATTTTATTTATTCATTTGAGAGAGAGAGCACGAGATGAGGGGGGAGGGGCAGAGGGAGAAGCAGACTCCCCTGCTGAGCAGGGAGCCTGTTGTGAGGCTCCATCCCAGGACCCTGGGATCATGACCTGAGCCGAAGGCAGATGCTTAACTGACTGAGCCACCCAGGTGCCCCTGGATTAATACTCTTAATCGGTCCTCCAAGGTTGGGGAACTGTACCACCTCTGGGAGGCTGCGGTCCCGAGTGTCTGAGAGTCCAGGCTTATGCTCTCCTGACCCCGGCCAAAGGCCGGCTGCTTTAGGCTGCTTGCTTCCCTCTGGGGGTGATGCGTGCTGTCTGGGGAGGGCGTCGCTGCCCCAGCACATCCAGGAGCTTTACAAGCCTCTACCCAGTGAATGCTGGTCTGAACTACAGCTCACGGTCCGAATAGTCGTGCCCCCACTGCCGGAGATAAAGGAACAAGATCATCGAGGAGACATTTCTCTTAATTATATTCTCCCCCAAACTCTAACTCTTCATTACATTGAAATACAGTCATTTCTCTCTGTGCTGAATGACACTGGGGAAAGAGCCCTGGCTGACGGCCAGGGGCTATGTCATCCGGGCAAGCTGCTTGTCCTCCCTTTCCAGTTGGCTCAGCGAGACCAGAGTCACTATGCTCTTTCGGGTAGCATGGCCAGATTTTGCAGATCAACATATACATGTTGCATGGGACATCCTTATAGCACAAAACTGTGTGTAGTTTATCTGAAACCCAAGTTTACCTGGGTATTTACCTGGCGACCGAACCACCTGGTGAACGTTGGGGAACCGGCGTCTGCGGTGGTAGAAGTCCTGACCTCTGAGGGGGCCACAGGGTCTTGAGGGGAAGCAGGAGGTGCTGAGCAGTCCTCCGGCTCAGACTGAGGGCAGCAGAGAAGAGACTCTGAGTGTGCCCCACACCCCAGGAGTCCTCACCTCCTCCTGCTACCTGTCTCCTTCTGGAGGTGGCCCAGTCTTTTGATGGGTTCTGGGATAGAAATCAGGACACTTGACTCCCCCCTTCCTTAACATTCTGCCTCTGGCAAATCATGGCTCCTCTCCGGGCCTTTCCTCAGCTATATAAAAAGGAGTTTTGTTCTTTTCTTTTCTTTTAAGATTTAAAAAGAGATTTGAGAGAGAGAGAAAGCACAAGCAGACAGAGAGAGAGAGAGAGAAGCAGGCTTCCCACTGAGCAGGGAGCCCGACCCTGGGCTCGATCCCAGGACCCTGAGATTATGACCTGAGCGGAAGGCAGATGCTTAACTGGCTGAGCCACCCAGGCATCCCAGGGGTTTGGTTCTTGATGCTGATCAAACCTCAGAATCACTGGGGAGGTGAAGCAAACCGTAACAACAGGTACCTGGGTGGGCCCTACTTCCTGAGATTCTGATTCAATCGGCCTGGGGCAGACCCAGATAGCAGTTTTATCTTTAACTCCTGCAGGGATGCTAATGCTGAGCCAAGGTTGAAAACTTGGGCTCTATCTTGTCCCGTGCTGGGTCTCATAGCCATTTGTAGCTAGACCCAGGGCAGTGGAGGGAATGGTCCGACCCACCTGCTGTAGTGCTCTGGATGAATTCATGAATGAAATGAGCCACAAAACTGCATATAAAAAGATTTCGTAGGGTTTCTTTTTTCTTGTTGGTGTTTTTTATTTTACCACCCTCATGCCCTCAGGAGATTTTGAAGAAACAAGCTGGATGCACTCTGGCTTGTTTTCTTGCAGCATAAGGATTGCTAAGGCATCCCAAAGCACCTCCTTCCAACAGGTGCGGGGGCTCCTTGCCCTGATGTCCTGCATGTTCTGCAGTCCGGTGGTTTCCTGCCATTTACCAGCAGTGGTAACTAACTTGCCAGCAGTAACTTGGGCCTGGTACGGTAGCTCTTTGTGCCTCAGTTTCCTCATGCATACCGTTGATCACGGGCATGGTGGTGCCCACTTCACAGTACTGTTGGTGAAGGGAAAATGCGTGCATTCATGTAACAATGACACATGGGTTCTCAGAAATGTTATCTATTATTATTATTTCTAGAGAAGCGCGGTGGGTGTGGCAAGCAGGAAGCAAGAACTGACCAACTGCTTGGCCACTGCACTGGTGTTATCATTGGTGTTTCTGGGAGGATATTAAAGTTGCTCTTTATATATGAAAATCGTATCATTTGGGAGGATTGGAAATGCCATTGACAAAACAGTTCAGTACCTACCGTGGATATTGGAGAGCTGCCGGCGCTTCCAAAAATCAGACAATTTAGCACAATGTAAGCCTATCAAAGAATTCTTTCTCGCACTGTGTTTTCAACTCGCCCCCACTTCTGCATGTGCAGACGGTTCAACATTTCCGAAACCTGCAAACGGGCCGATTCGGCGGCCCAGGGCGCCCCCTTGTGGCACGCTGGAGGGACGGCTCCCCTGGCGGGGCGCGGCGCTTTCCTCGCTGGAAGTCACAACCCGCGCCCCCGCGAAGGGACAGCGGAGCACATTGACTCGGTGGCGCGGGGGCCGCTCCCGGGCAGGCGGAGAGAGCTGCCGAGGCTCCTGTCTCCTGCGGCTCTGGGCAAGTGCCAGGCCGCTGGGTGCCCGCGCCCGTGGGGCGGCCGGCGGGGGCCTGAGGTTCCAGGGCGGCACCGCCACCTCCTGGCGCGTGCTAGTCCGTCCCGGGGATGCTGCGCGTCCTGCACCGTGGGACAGCCCTGCACGACAGTGAGTTGTCAGGCGTCGCCCATGACTCGCAAACGGGCCTCCAGGCACTGCTGTGTGAAATGCTGCAGTGAGCTCAGCCTGCCACTGTGACACAGGAGAACCCAAAGTTGTCCTTCTAGCTTGGACACTTTCAGTTTTCCAGGACCGCAACTTAGCATGACCTGCTGGCAAGACTGTGCTTTGCCTTCTTTGCAATTTTATCAGAGTTGTTCAGCATTTTGGAAAATATCCCTGCATGACCCCCCCCCCCCCCCCCCCCCCGCCCCTTAACCCTTATTTCAAAAACTCAAATATAAACAGAAAGCAGCTTCTCTTAAATTCCTCCTTTCCTCATTATCTAGTAGGTGAAAGCCTCTGACGATTTCATCAGATCTCTGGTGAGGTCGAAACCAAGCATTTTCACATGGCGATAAATATTATTTTATCATAAACTACCTTTTATTTCTAATTTATTATAGTTAGAACATTTAATTTTTAAATTCTCTGTGAGATCTGATTATACTATCTGTGAAATTTATTTCAGGAGACTGAAGGGGCTGTTAAGAATCATTTGCTATGGGGCGCCTGGGTGGCTCAGATGGTTGGGCGTCTGCCTTCGGCTTGGGTCATGATCTCGGGGTCCTGGG